GGATATGCTGTTGATGTCAGATTGGTACAGGCAACTCTCTCAGAGGCAAGAAAGGTCTTACGGGACAGCCACCTGAGTTAGAGGGAGAGGGCTGTCCCTACCTCAGTTCCTGTCTTCTCGTATGAATGAATTCAAATGAGTGACTCTAGATGTTTGTGTTGTGATAAAGCCACTTTATTAAGAAAGTAATTTATTGAGAAAGCAAAACATGCAAATTTATTAAAGAAGCAAGGCAAGCAAATCTATAATAGGGCATAATGCACGGATGGGCTCCCAGCTAATCTGAAGAGCGAGTAGAGTGGGGGTTTTTTCCTTATATACTTTTCTGTCTATAGATCTTTAAATTCCTCTGCCAAAGGAATATCTTGGAACAGATCAATTTTCTTTCTTTTTTTTTTTTTCTTTCTTCTTTTTCTGGTGGTAAGCATTTTATTTTATTTATTTATTTTTTAAACATTTTTATTGTTGAAAGTTTTACATGTGTCCCTCCCTCAATTGACCTCTTCTGTCTCCTCCCCCCACCACCCGCCCCTGCCCCAGGCCTTCACCACCCTATTGTCTGTGTCCACAGGTTATGCATATATGCATACAATTCTTTGGTTGATCTCTTCTCACCTACCCACCCTCCCTGGTCTGGAACAGCTCAATTTTCAAGGTCCCTCTTATACTTTGTTGTGGCTTGCCCAGAATGTGTGAGGAGCACCTGGCAATTTTATCTTGCCAAGCCCCAAGACTGCTGGCTTTTCTGTTTAGGGAGTGGGATGAGATAAGACTGCACTCTTCCATCCCCTTCCTCCCTCTCTGCTGTCTTTGCGGGAGACATTAACTATTTGCTTTCAAGTGTCCTTGGTTGGGGAAGGTAAGGGCTTGCTATTTACAAGCTGGCTGCAGGCTGCCAAACTGTTTGGCCTTGTTTAATTCTTTTTTGTTGTTTTTTGTTTGTTTGTTTGTTTGTTTCAGTTTCCCTATTCCTCCTGCCTTGGAATTTCTGTAGCTTCTCGCTATCCTGTAAGAAAATCACAGAAGCCCTGTGTACTTGGGTTAAGCTATGGGGAACTAGGGAACCTGCAATAGCCACTATTTTTACCTAACCTAGTATTTTCCTTTTCCTCTGAAGTATTGCTCTTTGAACCCCAAGGAGCCTGCTCTGACCCTTAGACAAACTTCTCGTTCTATACCACAGCCCTGGATTATAACTCAGAGGGGATCCTCTTAGAGAATATTTCTGGACAAGTCAACAGACAGCAGTTGACTTTTCTTGCAAACAGTGACAGCAGTTGGAGAGTTTAAGGTAGGGCCCTCTTTTGCTTATAATGTTCTTAGTTTCTCTTAATGTATTTTCCCTCTCCCCCTCCTCCCCACCTTTATATTATGCTCTGCTTCAAACCAAAAGTTGATTAAAACAATGATTCTCAACACCCCCCCTTACAGTCCATGGAACCCATTCTTAAGTCCAGTTATAGCATTTCTGTGCTCTCCCACCCCCCTCATAACTAGAATGTGTGGGAAGAATTTTGTTTCTCACAGTTACTCTGATGGGGGTAAGAGGCTCTGTCCACATGGTGAACACAAGCCAGGGATGCTGAGTGGCCTGCAATGCAGGCGCCAACTCAGGTTACGTAAAAAATATCCCATTCAAAATGCCAATAACACCTCCATTTAGAAACACTGAGTTAGGAAAATGGAACTTTCCCTGCAAAATTTAGCTGTTTTGAAAACTGGATTATGATGCTGTCAAAGTCTCCCTCACTTGTTAAGGTGCTTCTATTTCACTCTCAAATGCTTCAGAATATACAGTGTGATAGTGTGTATGTGTCCATTTAAGCTGCATTTTTTAGGAATAATCAATTGTTTTTCATCACAAATGTACACTGCAGATCTGGTAAGCATTGGTGAAGGTAACTATGGTTTAACATCACAAGTTTTGTTCATTAGAATAATATATCTTAGATCTATTTCATTTGTAAAGTTTGGTGTTTAATAATTAGCAAAAGGGTGGTTGTAAAGGCTTTTCATAAATGAAATTCTTGTTATTCAAGATGTGTAGATTGGCTCTCTATATAGTGAAAGCATTCTTACCCTCTGGTATGAAACAGGCACCTCAGTAACGAGGTCTAAGGCTTAATTGCTAAATGGTCCTATTTTACAGCCACTGTTTTGAAGGGCTTTTGATGTACCTGAAGAGTCAAGTTGTGGCAAAGTAGCTCTAATTACTGGTGACTACTGTTATTTGCTGGAAATAAAACAAACACACAGTATTTATGCACCACCAATTTATGATTAAGTCAATTTTCAATATTGCCCTAACCTGTCAGTCCCTTAAACAAGTCTAAGAGAACATTTAACCAATTGAGCTGGGACAAATATCAAGGATGTCAACATCACACTCCCCTCCCATCACCTGCCCCCTCCCCCATCCTCATCCTCATCCTCAAAACTTCTATCTATTTGCACCACTGATATGAATTAGAAATGTTGTTTTGCAAAATGAGAAGTAGAAATACAGAATGTTTAGGAAAATGGAATATATATATATATATACTTTTTCCTTTCTTCTTTTTAATTTGGTGGCAGCATGCATTTGAATCCTGGTTATGTCACTCACTTACTTGTGATTTTAGGCAAGGCACTCAATCTCTCCAATCTCCAGTTTCCTCTCATAGAATGGGCGGTGTACCTACCTCACAGGAGGTTAGGAGAATTAAATGAGTGAATTCCTGTAAAGAGCTCAACATTAAGAGCCTGGTTCATTACAGGCAATAACAGCCTGTTGATCTCATTCATTCACTCTTCCTTCAAACAAAAACATCCTGGGGGCTGTCTCTTACTTGTTTTGTTCTTCTAGCATAGAATAGACTGCCTGACCCAGAATTTGTGTTCAACATATATCTGTTGAATAAATGAATTTAACAGCTTCTCATTGGAATTTAGCTGTTGTTGGATACCATAGCTCTCTGACATCCTGAAAATCTGTCCACATGTCTGCTATATTATTATTCTTCCTGATACTTTTTGAAATGTCAATGAAAAATACTCCACTCATTAGTAGAGGAGATGCTGTAAAAGATTTAAGTCAATATCTTTTTTCCTCAATAAAGCAATTGAAGACAATCCAGGCTTTCCTGGGATGTAGGATTTCATGTTATGTGCTTCAGGTTGATTCATTTTTAGATATATTTGAAAATGCTGTTTTGCTAAGAATCTTCATAACTTGATGATTAGAATATAAAGTGGAGCCGAAGCCGGTTTGGCTCAGTGGATAGAGCGTCGGCCTGCGGACTGAAGGGTCCCGGGTTCGATTCCGGTCAAGGGCATGTACCTGGGTTGTGGGCACATCCCCAGTAGGAGATGTGCAGGAGGCAGCTGATCGATGTTTCTCTCTCATCGATGTTTCTAACTCTCTATCTCTCTCCCTTCCTCTCTGTAAAAAATCAATAAAATATATTTTAAAAAAAAAAGAATATAAAGTGGAAATCTGTCAATTTCTATCAAGAGCCTAAAATATGTTAACAGCAGGTAATCCCATTTCTAAAAGTTTATCCCAAAGAAATAATAGTTCACATGCATATGTAGAAAAGTAGTCATTGTAGTGTTATTTTTATGAAAAGAAGGAAGTCAACTGAATCCTATATAATAAAAGCCTAATATGCTAAGTGTCCCACCATTTGTTTGACCGTTCGACCAGCCGCTATGACGCACATTGACCACCAGGGGGCAGAAGCTCCGACCAGCAGGTTAGCTTGCTGCTGGGGTCTGGCCTATCAGGACTGGGCAAGATGGGCTGGACAAGCCCTGGAGCCCTCCTGTGGTCCTTCCCTGGCCCCAATCTCCTTAGCCTGTCACAATCTCAGGCCAGGCTGAGGGTCCCCAGCAATGCACAAATCCAATCTTATACAATAACAGGGGAAAGGTTAAGTTAATTCTGATAACTACTTATGATGCTCTCAGCTACATACTGAGGAGAAATAACTATATATATTCACTAAAGGTAGGTACAGATGTTCATAAAAACACTGTTTATAATAGCTCCAAACAGAAATCTACTGAAATGTTATCTACAGTGGAATAGACATTTATTTGTAGTATATGCATATAATGGAATATTATATATTAATGAGAAGAAACAAACTATTGCCAAACAACATGGATAAATTTCAACAACATAAAGTTGAATAAAAAAGCCAGAAATAAAAAAGTACTACATCATTACATTTTTCAAAACAGGTAATACTAAAATTAATATGGCAATGCTATGAAATGAGATTTTAAGCAGCTATTAAAACATTCAAAGACATTGGTTACTAATGTAATGTCCCTTTCATTTCATGCTGTGCAGGGAGCAAAGGGGCTTTAGGTTTTACAAAGTCTCAGAGCTTATGCATCAGACATTAACAGGGATTATTAGTGATGAAGGGGCTCAGATAATTACTATTTTTTCTTTTAGTTTGTGGGTTGTTGTTTTTTTTAACTTTTTAAATAGGGCTCATGTAATAAGGTTTTTCTCAAACTGATTTATAAGCAGAGTTTTTTCCTAAGTAGGTGAATTCTTTCAGATCCTCTGCACTTCCCTCATCCCACTAGTAATAAAACATGAGGTTTTTCCCTATTCCAGGCTACATTTTAGTAAAAGAAAGGTTTGTGGCAGTAAATGAATGAAGTGTTATCCTATATTTCACTTATTTAGAACCTGTCTGTTTTCTAGAAGTGATTTGCTATCATCTATGTCAGGTCTCCGCAGCCCAGATTATTTGGCATTGTTACCTATGGGCTCCACTGCATCCCGTAATGAAGACTAATTGCTTGGAATCCTGGATAACTATTTTCCTTTTATGTAGCTAGATAACAGTGTATTGTTGCCTATATTGCTATTGTTAAAACAATAAAAATGGATTCTATATATCATATCTTTCCTTTACACTTAGAGACTTCACCTATTAAAATGTGAACAGAGAAAACCTTATTGCAAATGCCATTAAGTTCGGCTGGACCCAAGACGGTCATGCTTGCACAACACATATCCCTGACCCATGAAGGAGCACTCAGACCTAGGAATCTTTTTATTGTCTGACTAGTGCTTTGCCCCTGGTCTCAGTAGCACATCTATCAAATAGATTCACTTCAGACACCATTACCAGGAGCCCCTAGTAAAATGTTGACAGAAAACAATCTTACAGCCAACTCTGACCCAAAGGAAGAGCAACCGGCTTTACTCTGCCACCTCCAACCCCTGCTGTGGCTCGGTGAACACTTTATTTTCCCACTTGAACTTGAGCTCTTCCGAAAGATCACTCCTGCCGATCTTGCGGAGATGGCGAGCCAGAAGGCGAAGCTTATCGGTGGAATTCGGGAGTGATTTCTTCCAGGAGCAGAGGAGTTCGTGGATCTGTCCTGTGAGATCATCTGGGTTCTTCAGTTTGATGAGCTGAATGGTGCTGCGGCGAAGGGGGAGGGACGAGGAGAGACTCGTGGCGTTTTCTTCTGAGAGCTCCTCGGCCAACCAGTAGAGCAGGTTATCCCAGAGGGCTTCTGCCAGGCACAGGGGAACAGTGTTAGGGCTCTTTCTTGGGGCATGTGCTCATCTCATCCTCCATCCCTGTTCACAGGAATCTAAGTGCTCTCTGGTTTGTCCCCTGAGCAGCAGGAAGATTTGGGACCACCCAGTTGGACCATTGAGAGCCTTTGAATTTCTGGGGTGTTCTCCTACAGAGGGTTGAAAATGCTTCTCAAATGTTAACTTTCCCAAGAGCCAAATGGGCTTGTGCAATGGTTTGTCACCCTGCCTCAGAGAGTCTACTTAATTAGGACGAGGAGGGGGGCAAAACTTGGCATTTTTAACAAGCCCCCAACCCTATTATAAGTAGCATGTATGGTAAAGGATATTTTTTAGGTTCAAAAAATACTTTCCTTAATTAGTACTAATCTGATGCCTAAGTGTTAGGAGCACCTGGACAATTGTCACACACACACACACACACACACACACCCCACTACAGACACCCACAAACTCAACAAGATCCATTCCCCACAGATCAGTTCTGTGGAAGGTTCTCCACACCAACATTTCCCCTGCCCTCCAGACTAGTATTCAGAACCACAAACATCTCCTTTGAATATATCGTGTGTGCTCAGCATACTTCGTCCCTTACCCTGTGACTCTCATCTACCACCTTAACCTCACGATTCATTTTTCTGTTGTTATTTTCTTCATTGTGTAACTCAGACCCATCACTCTCAGTAATACCCCCAACCTTACTCTCTCTCTCCTTCCACATCCAGCACTAGTCTGCCTCACAGTCACTTTCCCACTCATGCTCACCCCGCACCATTTTCCCTGGTCTTGTGCCACCTTTCACTCAAGTATTCCTTCCCATTGACCTGCTCACTCAAACACACCTGATTTTACACTATGAGTCATTCCACTTTTCTGTGAAGGCTACCGGGAAGTGGAGTCAACACATTCTTGCTCTCCATTGTCACTTTCAAACCAGCATTCTGCAGCATATGGATTTTGATGTCCATGCTACAGGCCTTTCTCTCCCTGCCCACATCATCTGTCTGTTGCCTTCAGCAGGCAGAATTATCAGCAACTGCCTTGGCCATCAGTACCATCACTGACCGTATAGTTCCTTAATCTTGTCAACATCAATGATTTGCGTGTGACTCCATGTTGGATACTGACTCTCATGGCCAGTTCTCATGTTTCATCATCAACCAGAATTATTCCACCTCCTTGGCCTCAGCTTCTCCATATTACTGCCCACCAGCACCTCCTAAACTTCCACAGCCTCTGTTTCATTGCTCCTGCTTCATATTCTTCTTGCCCACATCACTACTAATATACCAATTCCTTTGATGCCCTCAGTCATTTGGTCAAACCTACTTACTGGGTGTCACATGATGCTTCTAACAACCAGCTGTGTACATCAAGAAGGGTCTTGGATCTTCCTTAAACTATGCTGTCCTCTTTAGCTTTCATTGCTCTCAACCTGTCCATCCCCAATCCTGCTTGACTCACACTACATTTAACTATCAGGCCGTCCAGGGTTATGAACCTATGGTGAATGTGATCAAGAAACTCTATGTTTTTTCCACTATTTAAGCCCTTAGTAGATTACAAATCCATTAAAAAATCTTTTTCCTGCACTCCATTTAAAGTTTTCCAGAGCAATGCCCCATCCTTAAGGATCTTCTACCATCCTTAAGCCCCACACTCACATGCATTCTGTGTCACTCGGCCAATGTCTGTTTCTCCTACTTTACCCAACGCCATTTGACCTAAGTTCTCATAACCTTATTTTCATTTCACAATCATTTTCTTACAAAATCTAACTCCTGGTGTTTGCCACGTTCCATCCATCACAGTGTTTTTCATCATTATTTCCCTTCACACCTGTTCCTTAGTCTCCTCCTCACCACAGGTTCTTGCCATACTTCTTACAAACACTCTCAAGCCTCCTATTTCTCTGCTTCTGCTACTCTTTCAATCTACTGAGCTACCACTTCCTTCCCTTCCCATAAAATCTTTTATGTTTGTTTTCAGAGCTAAAGGACAAGGATCTTTATTTTATCTTTTTTTTTAACTTTCAATATTATTTTGTATTGGTTTCAGGTGTACAGCATAGTGGTTAGACAATCGCATAGTTTACAAAGTGTTCCCCCCGGATATTTCCAGTATGCACCTGGCACCATTTATAGTTATTGCAATATTATTGACTATATTCCCTATACTGTGGTTTCTCTTCAGATTGTATAAATGTTACACCTTTTACCATAAAATCTTTTAATGCCTAATGTAAACTTGATGCCTCAAGTTCATCTCTGCCGGCTCACTTCATAAACCCTTGCTTTAGGGATTCTGGACCCTCTTTTAAAACTCTACTGAAGCCTTTCCAGTTTTCCCAGAGCCCTCCTAATTACTCCTTACAACAGCTGATTCTCAGTCTGTCTCATCTGACTTCACAAGGCGTTTTACCGCTTCCCTTGGGTTCCCTCTTCTACATTGCTGAGTCTCTTCCTCCTGATACAGCTGAATTAGTGCTGCCGATCTCAGGCCTCTTCTATTTCTATCCTCTCCCCTCAATGAACTCATCAACTCTTATCGCCTCAGCCATCTACTCTTTGTGAAACAGCCCACATCTACTAGATCTTCATCTGTGGCTTTGTTTTCCTAGATCCTGGTATAGCATATGCAATGTTCATTTCCCAGTTATCTTTACCAGGATATACCACTCTCTATTTCTCAAATCAAAATCAACTTTGGCCTTTCCTTCTTTCACCTGATCCTTCACTCTATCAACTTTTTCAGTAAATGTGACCACTCAATTGAGTAAGCTAAAACATGTTCTATTATTCTAATTTCTCAAAGCCTATTTCTTATCCCCTGTACCAACAAAGTTCAACTGGTTCTAACTCTACTGGTAAACATGTTTCAGCTATTTCCCCCAGTTTTCGGCCTTACTGACCCACTCTTAGTCATGACCTATCTCTCTTTTCTGGAGAATTGTCGGAACCCGGGTTCTAATTCATATCACTGCTATCAGTTTTATCTAACTTTAGTCTTCCATACAACTAATAAAGAGAAGTTTTCAGTCTAAGCAGATCTTATTTTTCCTTGTTAATACATCTCTCATAAACTATTGTCTGAATGCCTTAACTAACTTAGCATTTAAAGCTTTTTATAGTTTAATCCTGCTCTAACCTCACCTCCCATCACCCTTCCTGCAGCAGCTCAGATGGTATTGGTATGGTAAGACCACAAAGTGTAACAACCTAGGACTTCCTGGTGCAGGTAGGGAAGAGCAGGGTGCCCTGTGCCCTCCCATGGTTGTGACAATGGCAGTGAGAGTTATTTGAACATCAGATTCTTCAAAAGTTAACAAACTTCCTGGGCTTTCATCTACTGCTGTTTTTCATTTGGTTTCATTTGGTTTCTTGTTTGGCGGAGGTGTGTGAGGGGAGTAGGGGGTAGCTTTGGTGTTTTCTGTTTTGTTTTGCTGTGTCACCTGCTGTCTCTTTGAAAGCAGTTTTAGTGCCTCGAGAGGATGTATAGCACTAAGGTTTATTCCCAGCCTACTTTCTTCTAGTGTAATTCAGTAAGGCTGGACGTTTTCTGTACAAATCTATAAAGGTAACCCCTGAAGGGAAGGCTTTGCCATCGGTGGTGGGTTTAACACTGAAGTGAAACACACTCATGTGTTTTCTGGAGACCAATAAAGGATTAAAGTCACTATTAACATCACAAAATGAATTGTTTCAAAGGCTAAAATAGAATAAAACTGTCCAATTCTACCCTGCAATCCCCATCATTGTTATGTAAGTGATTTATGCATAACCACAATAAAAAGCACAGGTTTCTGTTGTGGTTTCATACCAGTATACCTCCGTTTAAAGTATATTGCCCTCAAATGTAGATTTGAGGTGACCAAACTTTAAGAGTCACAATTAATAGTCAGCATTTCAGAAAAAAACTGCACTGGTCTACTTACCAAACTAAGCAATTACTAGTTATCTTAGTAAAATATTGCTTAGTAGACTTTATATTTCTTATAGATTTTAATATAAATTTAACTCTGTCTACATTCGAGTATGCTTTGAATTAAACATGCATGACTTCCAAAGGAAAACATTTATTAGGGTGATAAACTTAATGATTATTGAACTGCAAAGTTCTCTATTCATTTTTATAAAAGAATTTGCATAAAATATCCTATATAATAAAAGCCTAATATGAAAACTGACCGAACAGCAGAACGACCAGTAGCTATGATGAGCACTGACCACCAGGGGGCAGATGCTCAATGCAGGAGCTGCCCCCAGCCCGCAGGCCCCAGGCCAGCCAAGGCCCCCCATCACCCCGCCGGTCACCCCGTAAAGGGAGGCGACCGGTGGTGGCAGCAGTAGGGGGCAGGGCTGGCAAGAAGGTGCTGCCAGGCCGGCCAAGGTGGGTGCCAGCAGGAGCCCCCCAATTGCCTTGCCAGTCACCCCACCGATTGGCCCTGATCGCCAGCCAGGCCTAGAGACCCTACCCTATATATTGGGAACAGTTTCTTAGATTTAAAAATTAAAACCTGGCAAGGCTACTCTAACTCTGAAAAAACAGGATGATGCAGCGATCATATGGATAGACTCTGGCTTGCACATTTTGTGGTCAGCCCTGATTCTGACACTTATAACTGTGTGACAAAGCCAATTACTTAACTTCTCTCTGCTTCAGTTTTCCACCCATAAGATGGGGAAAATAGTACTACTGCTTCAGGAGGATCATGTTACATACTACTTTTTATAATCAGGGCAAAAAAATGTAGCTGTCCATACAACAGCAAGATGCCTTTCATCTGTATGAAAAGTATGGTCACTGGTGCATGCAGCATCCCGGATTGCAAGAGGGATGTCCGACTGCTGGTTTAGGCCCATAAATCAGCAGTCAGACATCCACCAAGAGGTCCCGGATTGTGAGAGGGCACAGACCAGGCTTAGGAACCCCCCCTCTCCAGCCCCCCTTGCATGAATTTGGTGCACCGGGCCTCTAGTATAATATAAGAGAGAAAAAGCAGCTCTGTAGTGAGGGCACTCTTACCTAGAGGATCTGTAGAAATTCTTTTGATACTCTGTGGCCGGTTGATTAATTTTTCATGCTATTGGGGAAAAGAGACATAGATTAAGTAGAAGAAATCATTAATTTGTGAACAAGTCACAAATAAAAATCCATCTGATCCTCACCCATATTTGAAAGCAGCATTGAATTGCATACCTTGCAAATTAGATTGTGTATTTGTGCATGCATGCTCAGCAATTGCTTTCCTACGATGAGGCAAAATATGTTAACCCAAATCTTTCAAAAAATTTAAATCTGAGAATACACATTTAGCCCTGGCTGGTGTGACTTTATTGGTTGGATATTGTCTCAGGCACCTAAAGGTCAGGGTACATTCCTCGGTTGCAGGATCAATCCCTGGGAGGGGGTTGTGCAGGAAGCTGCCGATGATGTTTTTCTCTCCCTCTCCCTTCCTCTCTCTCCAAAACTCAATATAAAAATTTTAAAAAAGAACACAGATTTAACTATTGTTATAGCAGTTATCTGTGAGTAAACATTTTTTCAAGTATAACTTAAAACTATTAAACCAGCAAACTACCCCGGTGCTGTAAACATAGTATTTTGGAAAGGACTTCATGGGGCAGGCACCTGTTGTGACACAGCACAGGCCCTGGCACCTAATGGCACTAAAACAATAGTGTTAATGAATAAATGAGCAAATCAATGTGCATACAGGATGCTAAAAATAATCAAGTCTTTGAGCAGATATTATTCTAAAACCAATAGTTTATCAAGATGTAATAAAAAATATAATCATTACTTTTCTACACTGTCTGTAGAACAGTTTGTTCTCATTTAATCTGAGATCATTAGAAACAGCACAGGAAATAAAGTAAAAACATCTGGGTTTGGAAACCTGTTCTGTGCTCCGGACACTTTATCTCCTCTATCTCAGCTCTGAAAAGTGATTTATATATTTTTTAAAAATACACATCACAAAATTCTGTACACAATGTTCATAGCAGCTCTACTTGTCGTAGCCAGAAAACTGAAAACAGCTGATATTTTCTGCAATGGGTGAACGAAGTGTGATACATCTACATGGTGGGATACTTTTCAGCAATAAAAAGGACAAGTCACTGATACATGCAACAACTTGCATGGACCTCAGAGAACTCATCTGAGTGAAAAGGTCAACCATTCCCTGGTTTCATTTACATGTCATTCTTGAAATTACAGGCTTATAAAGATGTAGGACAGATTAATGATTGCCAGGCATTAGGGATGGTGGGGGAATGACCGTTAGCGGAAGCGCAAGGGAGATCTTTGTGGTGGATGGGAAAGTTCTGTATCTTGAGTGCAGTGGTTCCACAAATCTCACACGTGATAACATGACATAGAAGTGTGCATGCACTTCAATGACAACTTCCTGTTTGATGTCATACTCTAGTCCCATAAGATGTAACCACTGGGGACAACTGGGTGAGGACTATATGGGACCTCTCTGTATTATTATTTTTTTGAATTTCTGTGAATCTATAATTATTTCAAAATATTTTTTTAAAAGCCTACTTTACAGCGATGATTCAAGGAGGATGGAAATTCTCTATGCAAATGAGTAGAACACTGTCTAAATCATAATGAGCGCTCAATACAAGTTGATTAATTCTGAATATATTTTTATAGAGATTCTTGTCATAGCCATTACATAAATTTTATATAAAGTTATATATATGTGTGTGTGTGTATATATACATATATATATATATACATATATATATATATATATATATATATGTATATATATATATTTCCCCTTAAGAAATTTTAATCGTCCCTAGCCAGTTTGGCTCAGTGGATAGAGCGTCAGCCTGTGGACTGAAGGGTCCTGGGTTCTATTCCCATCAAGGGCATATACTCGGGTGCGGGCTCAGTCCCCAGTAGGGGGCATGCAGGAGGCAGCCGATCAGTGATTCTTTCTCATCATTGATGTTTCTATCTCTCTCTTCCTCTCTGAAATCAATAAAAATATATTTTTTAAAAAAGAAATTTTAATCGGAGGCAATTAAGAAACAACAAACGAACAACTTAAGTTCAAATATACTAATACTGTAGCACTGCAAAATACACAGAATTTTCAAGACATCAACTATGTGCTTAAAACTCTCAAAACAAGAAGAGAAATGCCAAATTAAATAGTGCAGCACATTCTACCATACCCATCAAAGGGCACGTGGACTTGATTGAATCCAGGACAAGAGATACATGTTGCATTTTTTCTTCTCTTCACATTAATAATTCTCCCCTCAGTCATTTTTTTTTCTTCAGAGATGTCTCCTAGCATCTTGATGCATTCAGAGTGATTCTAGTGTTTAAATATATGTATTTTCACACGCATGAAAATGCAAGCCAAGCCCTTCGTCTGGCACAGATCCATGGAGGCGGTGGAGTGCGGCGGAGCAGCACAGGACACCCTGGCTCTTTAAGGCATCCGGGCCCTGTGCTAGCCTCACACATGACCTCTTCATCAGGGAAGTTCAATGACCCCTCCCCTTCCCCTCCTGTTTTCTTGTATTGCTGGATTTTTATCTGTGCGTTATTTTTGCCTTGCACAGTACTTTTGAAATCTCCCTGGTGCTCAGGGTCAGCTCCAAGCCAAACCAGGAAGCCTTTGCTTGTCCTATAGAGTATCCCCTCCCACAGGTTCCCAGCATCTACGCGTGGTTCCCTAGTCAGTGGTTGGCAGAGCCAAATATCAACAGTACAACGATTGAAATTTCTTTTGAGAGCCAAATTTTTTAAACTTAAACTATATAGGTAGGTACATTGTCATTAACTTAATTAGGGTACTCCTAAGGCTTAGGAAGAGCCACACTCAAGGGGCCAAAGAGCTGCATGTGGCTCGCGAGCCGCAGTTTGCCGACCACGGCCCTAGGTGACTCCCTTGGTGGAACTGCCTCTAATTATTCCCTACTTTCCTCTCCCAACCAAAAGGTGCTATCCTGTTGTATCTTCTCAGGTTCCACTTTTTGCTGAAAGAAGGTTTGTTATTTCTCTGAGGTAACCTGCTTTTAGGTTGACGCTCCCCAGAATTTTACACATATTTTAAAGCACTAAGTGCTAATAATGACATAAAAGTCTCTCTTCGAATCTGGTGGCAATATCCCATGTTCAATGGTAACTTGGGTGCTCACTAATTCCAAGGACACCCACAATACTGTTGCCATTTAGCAGATACAGAAACAATAAGTGATAGACCTCTCCCCTTGAATTTGCACTTGCCTACAAGTTCTTCGGTGTCTCCTGCGGAACCAGAGTTTGTGTAGTAACGTGCTAAGGATTTTAAGACCCTGAAAGCTCCCTCTAACATGGATATCACAGAGCAGGACAGCTAACATCAGTGCAATGCAACCAGCAACAGCAGATAACAAAAAAATGTCATGCCAATGTTATTATTTCTTATCATTTACCCTGAGGCACTTATGCATGAAGAGAATTTCACAAGTAATTGTTACAATAGCATGTGGCAACCACTCCTCCAAGCAGCCTTAACCCTCACATTCTTCCCACCCCCGCACACTTATTGCAGCTTTTTCTGGTAAATAGGTCATTTCTGTTGTCTATCATTTCTGGTAAATAGGTCATTTCTGTTGTGTATCATTTTTTAAAAGATATACAAGTGAAAGTGATATGAATAATACATAGAATGAGGAAGTATATGTAATAATTATATTTCTGTGTATCTTTAGCATGGATTTTACCATAAGCCTTTTAGATGCCATGACTAAGTACCGGTTTTCACTGCTTATTGTGTTCTGTGTTTATTTTGCATAGAGGCCTCTTCAACTAAGTAATAGCTGCTATTTGCTTAACTTTAGTTCATCTCTTGCTTCATAATAGTAAACATTTATATTCTCAATCTTTATAATGTACAAATCCTATAGAATCCCCATTGCAAATAAGTTAGAATATTCATCAAAGAAGTAATCTGGTCAAAAGAGTGATGTTAGCATTAAAAGTTTGTGCTGCCGGCATGGGTTCAACTACAAATCAAATAAAAGCTTCCTTCAGAGTTGAGTGAGAACACACTGGTGTGAACTGGGCTAAACTTCTGGTTTCCAGTAAGGCATGTAAGAAGCGGGAAGCTGCTACTCTGTCCTAACAACAAGGAAAAAGCTGAACAAACGGAAAAAAACGAACAACTCTCTTTATATCTGTAAGAGAAGTAAGGTCACAGGGCAAACCCCTGTCCCAGTTTGGAAAAGACTGACAGTTGATATGGCGACTTTCCAAAGCCGAAACCCACAAGCACTGACCAGCAGGAACTAGCCCACCCCCTCCCGCAAGGAAACCTGAACTGTAATTGACAAGTTGCTGGAGGCTCAGTGTCCACACAAGACTGGAAGTTACAAGCCCTAGGGGACCCCTCAAGGATGCTCCCACACTTTTGTGAATGTCACCTCCAGGAGCTCAACCAGCTTCTCACAGTGACTATCTGAAAAAAATCCCCTTATCCATCTGGCAGGGAGAGGGCAAAAGGAACCATTTTCAAATTCACCACAGCATCTGTCCTTCTTACCATAAACAGGTCGGCTCTCAGAAGAAACAATTTAAACCAAAGCCTCCCCTGCTTGGGGGGTTTCAGCACCTCACTAACCTGGGGGAAGGGAGATACCTAACTTCAGGGTCTAGATTTGCCAAACACCCTGAAGGGACAAAGGATATGAGAAGCAATGGGACAGAGTTAAGAGCGGCAGATGTGAAGGAAGCGGGAGTCTCACTTACTTGGGGAAGAAGAAATAGACCAGCATAAAAGAGGAATGATTTTGAAGTCTGGGTCCCAGTATACACAGCCTTTGCCCGGGGAAATCATGCAAGTTGAGGCAAGCCATCCGAACATTCTCACTGAACTCCAGCTGGTGAGACAGAGAGGATGGGCCCGACCTCTGAAGTATGCTGTGAGGGTGGATTGAGATACTGTCTGTAAAGGATGCAACCTACACTGGCAGTTCAACAAATGGTTGCAGAGATACACAAGCCGAATGCAATGTGTGGGCATTTTTAGAACCCTTGAACCCTGTGGTGCGTTTTTTTACAAAT